CCGAAAATAACCGAGAAAATGATGGCCTGCCGACGACTGGTGTACACTGCGGGTGTGTGTGTGTGTGTGTTTGTGTGTGTGGTCGGTGTAGCGATGGCAGGAGGTGAAGGTGTGTCGGAGGGGCAGAGCAGAGCAACGGCGGGGAAAGCGAAAGCGACGGCTGCCGTTGGTCGAGGAAACCGGAAGGTGCTTTTGTGCTCGGTTTGTCAGAGCCCGTTGCACCGACGAGTCCCTCGACCGCTGAGAGGGGTCCTTCAAAAAGGAGGAGGGGGAGGGGGAGGAGGAGAAGTGATGAAATGGTACAGGACCGTTTCGCAGGGCGCTGCTTTCGCAAAAGGTGTTCTCCTTCCCGCCGGAGCGGACTGCAGTTTCGGCCTCGCCTCGACTCGTCTCATCAACACGCACGGCGGGACTCGAACCGTGACGATGCGGCGTGTCATCGCGACACTTCAACGACCAGATGCGAATTGCAAGAAAGGTCAAGCATTTGCCAAATCATCCTTTTTGATGCAGACTCGCATTTGTCACGACAATCGACTGTACTACTTATTGTTCGCTTATAAGTAGGCCACAAAAGGCCATTATTCATTATCAACTTTAATAAAACAGGCCGAATCCAGCTCGCTCGGCGCATCTACTTTTAAAGCAACAAAATGAGTCTTCATTCCACTTGACGGCAATTTCTTTTCCATTTCCGTCTCGTACCAATTTGCTGTCGCAACGCAAAGTCATCTGTCGACAGATGATCGTAGAAGTGTTGGAAACCCAGTTTCTTCGGGTGAATGAAAAGGATTTTGTGGATACTGTTCCGAGGGACACTATCCACGCGCTCTCTTTCTGCTCAACTTGCACCAATTCCTCTCGAACTCGTCACTTTCGCAGAATAAACGTCCGCTTCCACCCATTCCTCCCTCTCCTCAGTCAGTCCCCTCCCGCTCCATAAGTGGTTTCGTCTAGCCTTTTCTTCTCCGTCTCTCTCTCTTTGTCTCTGTATCTCCCTCCATGTTGTCATGTCCTTTTGGCCGGTGGTAGTTGAGCCTAATCTCCTTTTGGCTTCCGTCAATGCAACCAACACTTGGTTCACTTTGATAAAAGCAGCCAGAAAGTCGGTCAACTTTATTGCTTTGCCTCCACTACACTCCATCTACACTTGTTCTGGCGATATCAGCCGACAGAAGAGGCGACGACGACGGCACACACACACACACACACACACACACACACACACACACACACACACACACACACACACACAAACACACA